AAGTGATAGGGGAGGTGTTATAAGGTGTGTGGTGGGAGTGTGGATTGCTTGTTATACATGTGGGTAGGTTTGATGGAAGTGAATATGCCTACCCACGACCAGGCCACTCACATGCTCACTCCCCCATGCTCCCAACGCTCCCCGCCAACCCACATGCGACCACGCCCGCACCCGCCCACACCCACACCTGTGAGAACGTGGCGACTGAAAACGCTGACGACATAAAATGTCGTGAGGCACAGTCTAGTTCGCAGCATAAGCTAGACGCCTTTAGCAATCGTAAAGAATGCTTTACTGTGTTTTACGCGCGTAGTGAACTATCGCAAGAAGCCGCCGTGGACCACTGGTCTAACGATATGAAAATCTAGCTGATGTCTATATCATAGGACCAAGCTCTTCCTAGAATATGAGTGATGCATTATTTGAGCTGATGAAATGGTCAGATTCTATTTCGCCGTGCCGGACTGAGTGGGAACCCAAACATACACCCATGAATCGAGAGACCATCGTCGATAACCTTTGGATCATCCCGAACATGCCAATGTGTTGTCCTTACAATAAGGGAGAAAAGGCCACATAAAGTCTGATTGGTTCATTTATCGGACCAATTAAAGAGCGAATTTCTTTTTCACGGTATTGGGATGGACGAGATCACACACATATACCCATCAATCGATAGATCACCCACGATAACCCTAGCATCAGCCAAAATATACCCATGTGTTGTCCTTATAGTAAGAGACAAAGTCCATCCTGAAAGCACCGGGGAAATACGATCGTGTTCGGTCGTTTGGCGTCGCCGTAATGTTCGATCTGGGTAGCACCTCCTGTTCATATTCAGTAGCAGTTCATCATCTTACGAAATGGAATAGTCCCCAAACAGGGTGGAACGCTCATGCACAATAGTATTTAAGGATCGAATGAATTCCTGTACAGGAGAACTTCAGGAGACACCAGTACATCTAAGATTAGAACTTGAGCACCCACGAGTACCTTCCAGTAGTAAGACTTGGAGGAAAACGGTACCCCCTATAGTAGCCCTTGAGGACCCAAGGGTACTCCTATAGAAGCCTTTGAGGACTCAAGAGTACCTCGCTATAGTAGCCCTTGAGGACCCAAGAGTACCCACTATAGTAGCCGTTGAGATCCCAATGGTACCCCCGAATAGTAACCATTGAGGTCCCAAGGCTGCCCCCAGATAGTAGTCCATGAGGACCTATGAGTATTTCTATAAGATAGCTCTTGAGAACCGATGGGTACCTTCATAGGTTGGCTCCTATAAATATATGAGTATGAATTAAAAGTTGCAGTAATTAGGCTGAATATTGATTAAGGTGAGTACCAATTAATGTGAGTACGAATTAGGGTGAGTACTAACCTACAATGCAAAAGTAATTGCCGAAATCTCCAGGCAGGGTTCTTCGTTCAAGGACATTGTAGAAAGATCATTCTTTTCTCGATTGAAAGAGCAAAGTCTAAACTTCAAAATGCATACAAAATAAAATTATTTGGGATTAACTTTGCGTGAGAAAAAAATTCCATATCAAACATAACTTAAAAAGCTCTTGCAACTTACTGTTCTATTCAAACGTACCTCGCATATCAAAGCTACTTTTAGTTATCACAGCATGGGTTTCAAATTATATGACTACAGTAACTAGAAATACTTTTGTCACTCTTTCAAATGGAATATAATATATTATTTTTTGATTCACTTTCCGACTTGAATTTCACAACTTTTTTATTAGTTTCAAAAAAATTGGTCATTAGACAAAATCAATAATTTTCAGGTCCTGGGCGAAAATCCCTCCTTTTTCTACAACACATTTTCTGAAACAGCGTACAATTTTCTACAAATTCAAATTATTTTTATTCTTTATTAACATGCTTAGAGTTCTTAATAATGAACTTTGCTCAATGTCCCGTCTTTCTCATGCAAACTAGTACTTTATATCAAAACTAAGACATAATGGGCGTTATTTCTTGTTAAAGGATTACTGAGAAACTTTCTGAAGTAGGGAAATCGATTGAGCTTTGCACGGACTACTTTCTCATTAATTTAATGTTCACGAAAACGTTTTGTTTCAAGTTCTAGTAAAAATATTTAAAAAAAAATTTTGTGTTGCAAGAGTTTTTTTTTAGAGACGTTCGATCTAGTACTTTTCTCGCTCTAAGTTAACTCCAAATAATTTTGTTTTGTATGCACTTTGAAGTTTAGACTTTGCTCTTTCAATAGAGAAAAGAATGATACTTCTACAATGTTCTTGAGCGGAGAACCATGCCTGGAGATTTCGGCAATTACTTTTGCATCGTAGGTTAATTAGCGTAGGTAATAATTAATATAAGTAATAATTAACATGAATACAGTTTTAGAAATTGTTATTGATTTTAACAGCCGTATGTTGTCTTTGTATGCATTTCGCAAAACATGGACTACATAGCTTTAGTAAAATATGGATGCGTAAGTGAGCTCCACATTTGGAGTTTACGTGTCCAGTTTATTTTTTTGACCAGTTTCGAGAATATTTTTTTAGAAAGATAACGAATGATCAATAAGTATTTATTGGTAAAAACTAAAGCGACTTAGGTTTGGTAGTATTTCCATTTCTGTTAGTCAATTGTAAAATTAGTTTTGTCCCAATAGATTATATTTGCATTTGAGTTGTTATTATAAATAATTTTATTTGATTCGATGATAAAACTGAAACAAAAATGGAACTATTTATCCTTTTTCTTTTGTCTATATTCATCTTTTAAATTAATTCAGGCAACTGGCTCATTGTCAGATGGAGTGAATTTTCAGGATACTCATCACCGAACGTCGAACAGAAATAAAAAGAAACGGTAAATAATTGTTTTACATTTTTTCTTATTAACTATTAAAATTGTTTCATTTAGCTATTTTAAACACATTCGTTGCCAATATTCACCTATCTATTTATTTCTGTCTCTACTTGTTCTTCTACTTTTTGGCGCAGGCATTGCTTCAATGCTTGTTGCCTTGATCGACATCCCTAAAACGACAATAACAACAACAACAACTGCAACGATAACAACAGCAATAATAACTACAGCAACGACGACAACAACAATACCAACGACAACAACAACATCAACGACAACAACAACAACAACACCAACGACAACAACAACATCAACGACAACAACAACATCAACAACAACATCAACGGCATCAACAACAACAGCAACAAGTAAGGCAACATTTGCGTTTTTTTCGCGTATGTCCATGAATATTCATACAACTGGATTCATAAGAGAAGTTCTAGCGATCGATGTGAGATATATTTATAACTGAGATAGGTCCAAGAGGAAAGCAGCGACTTTGAGGGCGTGGATATTGTCTCTTTCCACCCACACCCTCACGCACATCCACACCCGCTACACCCACAACCACACCTCACACCCATACCCCCACCACCACACCCACACCCTCGTTTCACAGAGACTCGGAAGTCTTGACAAGTAGTCTTGTGCTGGACATTCGGATGCTTTATTGACAAGTATGGAAACTTAAATGATGTGGTGTTCTGCACTTCATTTTTGAGGTTGTGGAGTGAATAGGACATCATTACTCACATACCTACTCTTCCTCAGTCACTTCCACATCGACACTTTAAGATTTGATAAGATTTGAAGCCCAACGTCTCCGTTTTTTCTTCCTCGGACTGCACCAGCAACTATAGTCAGCATATCAGGATCGAGGAAAACAATTACCGAATCATGTGGAAACTAAAACATTATCATTTGCTTCTGATCCAACTTGATTTATTCTGAGAGTTGTTTTCCTATGATTCATGGAGTATACGTATCTCTATTGATGAATGTTTGTCAAAATACCAGAATAAAAAAATAATCGATCATTTTTATGAAGATAGGTGAACTAAAGAACAATAGAAACGAGACAAAGTTTGAAATGAAGTAGAGAAAAATGAAGTTTTCAAAACACTAGAAATTGACATTCGTGCTTTATCTATAGTTTGATAGTGTTCATGAGCATAAATATTCGCTGATTGATACTGCCTCCACTTTTTGATTTTAGTCACTTCATGTACACCTGGTAGCAGCTGGAATTCAACTGGTGTCACTGTGGCTGGTGTGACAGGTATACCAGGTGCGAATTCAACTTTACTTAGCTATGTCAATGATGTCGCCACTGACATATATTCAAATATCTATGTTGCTGATGCAGATAATCAACGAATTCAGCGATTCGCATCAAACTCTTTGGTCGGTCAAACGGTAGCTGGAGTTGCCAGTAGTGTCGGTTCATCATCAACTTTGTTTAATTTTCCACGCGCTATATTTGTTCTTTCAAACGCACTATTCGTTTCCGATGTTTACAACTATCGAATACAAAGATTTACCTACAATATATCAACTGGGTCTACAGTTGCTGGAGGTAATATAAAATTTTCCATTAAAATCAGCTGTTGATTGTTAGTCACTGACAAATTGAATTTATCTTGACTTCTTTTATAAGTTTACAGAGCAGAATAATTTGGTTGTTTCACAAATGAATACCTTTTAAAAATCATTTTTCTCCTTGCTATATCTATATGAGTAACGATCTTCTTGTAGAGATTCTTCAAGCCTGTATAGACGCAGTCGATTGAAGAAACATTGAAGTTTCTATATATGTTTTATTTATCATCTCTTTTCAAATTTGAATGTCTTCTTTTCTTGATATAAGACTCTGTTCAACTCTGATACGTACTTGTGCAATATTTTCATTGTTTATAAAATTTTAATCATATAAAGTTTTAGTATAGTAACAATCTCTACTATACCATTATTGTTCAGAGAAAAGTGTGTGAATCAAAGATGCGAACGTGTGATTATTTTCTCACCTGCCCTGATTTTATCCAATCTGAAGCTACAGCAGAAGTAAACAATATGCCTCACTAATGATCTGCAGATGTCTACTAGGGCAATTCAGACAAACTGGCTTTTTTTTGTCAGGAACAAGTACACAGTACTCCGTTCTAGCGATACCTAGGTCCATTAGTCTGGACGTATTTGACTTTTTCTTTTTTACTAAAGTATATTTGGCACTTGAGTCTCCACTATTACTTAGAACACATCGTGGATTTTTATCTCTATCATGACTTTCCGAATTTTCCATTCTATCGATCTTGACAAGCCCTGGGCAGAGCAAGCCCTTAAGTCTTCCTACTTAAAAATTTCAATTTTTGTCCAGACTGGCACTTTTTGAGTTTCATACACTGGTATGTGAGGATTTTACAGTAATTTTCATGAAAAATTCATACTTCAAAGGGGTTTATACCCTATTTTTACATAACACTCTCTAAGTCTACCAGATGATACGGTAGTGTAGCAAAGTAAGATAGGATAATCTTACATTAATCTATTTTATTTTCAGAGTTATGCTAAGTATATCGGCAATGCTTCGACACTAATCACACACTACGAATTAATAGAATATGAAGCTATTGGAGCAAAAACGAAAAAGAACTATATAAACATCACTTCGAATTTTTGATTGTCTATTATTCTTCAAAGACATGAATGTGAGGTTCTTGACCATTCGACAGTGTGATAGAAGACACATCTGCCTTTGTGATACTTGATTCTAAGAAACCATTCATGGATACCGTCGCATAGGCTTTTTCACATGTTTTCAAGAGCAACTAGATTCAAATTATACGAAAATGAAGTCTCAACAGGACATTATTTTTGTAAGACTCTCACACGCCATAACACACATGCTAAAGCATGAATTTAGCTACACAAATAAAACGATCTAACTGTCACATAAGTAAAACAGGACTTTTATGATCAAGCTCTTTATGTGAATTGAGCCTAGGTTCATACGGAAACTCGTAAAAAAAACGTTCACTTAACAAATCCATAAAGCAGTTCTTGAAATCTAATGAATACTACACATACAGACGCTTCCGGTTTTGCCGTCTGATCGTGTCCTGATATAAGATGTGATAATTTTACGGATGTTTCGTTGTTTCATTTCTGTTTTGAATCAAGAGAAATTTGCATGGCATCAGGAGTATATACGCGATTCATATTGGCCAACCTTTTAGGCAGTCGAAAAAAAAACAGATCAGTATTTGAAAGCATTGAACTTCGAAATGTTTTGGAGAAACTATTAGCGCGAATGCTGGAACAAGTTTTCAACTAATCTGTGGAAGTCTACGTGTGATATAATCAAAAAAGCTTGTCAGCAGATTTCTCGTTGAGGTAGAAATGTGAAATTCTAATTGGTATCTGGTAGTTACCAATAAGAATAAAAACACAATGAAACGCAGAAATAAATAAATCATCAAGATCAATATAGTTAATACGCTCAACAAGAAAAACATGTGTTTTGAAGGAAGTCTTTGAACAAATTCTCTTGGTAGGGTAAAAATAAAACATCTGTGTTGAACGAGAACTATATATACATATAGGAGGAGTATTTGTAATAGGGAGTTGTCTTTACGAACCAGATGTCTGTTGAATCGAAGGCAGAAATCTTGAATATCATATTAAAATTTTCGCTAACTATTCTATAGCTAGTTCTACAAATTAATGGTTGGGATTTTAATAAAAATCTTACAATAGTTAGTGCTACGTTTTGTCATCTGTGGTAGTGGTTTATGTTGGCTTATGTATATTTTGGAGGAATCATATTTCGTTGTGAATATTGAGAAAACTTCATCAATATAAAGTATGGTTATTGAGAATCAATCAATGCAAAATATTAGACAATCTGATTATCCAGACGAAAAATATCGGCCTGATCTGCTTAGTTGAGGAAAATATTCTACAATTAGTCTTATCTAGTTCTCTTCAAGTGCCTGCTGGTCCATTGTAAGATCTCTGATCTTAGTCAATGATTAATAACCATTATTCAATATTTTTAGGATTGAATTAAAATAGTTCGTCAGAGTATAACTTCCGAAGGTTAAAATGTAGTGTGCCGATTCTATGGACTATGAACAGGTATTAATTACGTCTCGTAAAACATGGTATCATAGACTATAAAATAGTGAACTTAAGTTTTAAGCAGAGCTTTTTCTGCTTTCCTGTCGTTATAAATACTCCTATTTTTGAAAATAATCCTGCTTAAATATGATTTTCTAATTTCATAGATTTGCGTGTCCTGGAAGATAAGAGATAGAATTCATTGAGAAAAAAGTTCTCATCCTCTTCGATCTCTTCAGATATTTTTATATTTATAGTCTGAAGGTTTTTTTTCTCAGAGCTATGATTTCCTCGTTCTTGCTTGATATCGTATTCACGTGTGAGCTAAACATTTTACCCTTCCTGGAAGACTGTGCTGACATATTTTTGAAAAGTATTTTAAAGAACTCGAATCTATATAGAAGCAACTCTTAAACTTCTTGTTGTTATAAACAGATTACACTTCTATTTGGAAGGGAATGGTCAAGGATCAGGTTTGAATCAGATAAATATTTGTTATGGTGTCTACGTTGATACAAATGGAACTGTCTATTATTCAGATTTTACAAATAATCGAGTAATGAAAAAGCTGAATTCGTCTTCGTCTGGTGTTGTCATTGCGGGTAACAATGGGAATGGCAATGCGACGAATCAATTTAATGGTCCAATGGGTATCTACATAGACGTAAATAATGGATCGATTATATATGTAGTCGATAGTTCAAATCATCGAGTGCAACGATGGGTTATTGGAGGAACAACTGGTACCACAGTAGCCGGCGGAAACTCGAATGGAGCGGCGCTAAATCAATTGAATAGCCCTCGAGCAGTTATTAGTGATTCAAACGGAAATCTTTACATTTCGGATACGAATAATCATCGAATCGTTATGTGGACTAGTAGAGCAACTATTGGAATACTTATAGCAGGCACTAGTGGAGTGCAAGGTTCAACTGCAACAACTTTAAAATCTCCGAATGGAATTACATTTGATACAAACAAAAACTTGTATGTTGCTGATTCCAATAATTTTCGCATCCAAAAATACATCGTATGTGCAGGTATGTTGCGTGTCAGGAGAAATGAACTTCTCTTTGATAATTCAGAGTGATTATTGCTGTATTTGCTGTTTTCAGGTACGACAACAACGACAATTGCACCTACTACAACAGGTTACATATACCATCATGTGTTTTTATTCGGCACTTACGTAATTTTGACACGTCTAACTATGGCCAGTAGAAGTTTCGAAATGAGAGTTTGCATAAAATATAAGAGACGTATTGTTGGAAATTATGTTGAAGCGCTATCTCACTTAATATTGTAGCTTTTGCAGATATTTGATTGTGTTCATATCTAATTATGAGAATGAAGATGTTCAAAAAAGGTACTTTGATTTTCTTTCAACTTCCTATGCCTTGGTAAAATTGATCTTAAAAAATAAAAAAACAATGGTTTTCATGTAGGTAGGAATAGAGTTATCCAAGAAGAAAATCAACTTCATACTCTGCAATAGTAGAACTGTAATAGTGTTGTATTCAATCCACTTTGCGCATTGAGTGTAGTTGTTTTGTTTAAAACATTGCTTCCTATCAGTCAAATACTAAATAAACTGATTAAAATTCATCAAGAATTAGTTCTTTTTTTGATTGTCATTGTGTTCAAAATTAGAAATCCATTGTATCATTTCTATTTATGTCGAAATTGTTTTTTTTTGAAGTATTAAACAATATTATGATTGTAGTCTATCATTTAGTTTCGATGTAAAGCAAAGAAAAATATTAGTATTTAAAATATGGGTTATAAATAGGATTCCTAAGCTCTTAATAGTATGTTGTGCAAAGGAAACTATCTTATATCCGATATAAGTAACAGATCTCTCGCTAATATTTTTAACAAAAAAAAACACTTCGTCATAAAGATATGCTTGTTGAGAAAGCATGCCCTTCCACCAAACTAAATAGCTTTCAGTGCAATCCATACGAGATTAGAATGTGAAACATGACGAAACCGTGTGAGTGATGATCGAAAAACCTTGATATTTTTATCAAACAGACATGTCAGTTACAATCTGCAAGACAGACTAGTGAAGTTTTACTTTCTTCGTTATAAATTTCAATACTTATGCATAATCATATTACACAACAGGAGTAATCACTTTCAAGAAAACTTATCCAAAGGAACCTCTTCCTATAAACAGATGTTCAAAGCATCATTATATAACAGTGGCATCCGCAAAAGTCTTCTGTTATTTTCATTTTTCATAGATAAGAGAAAATTATTTTCTTGTTTTTCTAGTTACGGCTGTTCCACCATGTACACCTCAATCGAGATCAAGTGGAACATTGTTTTCTGTTACAAATCCAACATCATCCACTTATCCAAGTTACACTTGCTATGCATACACTTGGGTGGCCACTGGATCATCAGCAACATTATCCTTCTTTTTTCGTCATGATCCCGGTGGTTGGATGCTAGACGATGTTATGGTTTATCATGGCTTGACACAATTAATTACGAACGGAGGATTTGAAACCGGTAGTCTAACTGGCTGGACCTATTCGGGTTCATGTAGCTGGTACACTGGTACGGCGTACTCGGGAAGTAGTTATGCTAAATCAGGAAGCTATTACTATTACGATCGCTGCACTCAGTATGGTGATACAATAAGTCAAACATTTTCAACAGTTGTCGGTGATATATATGTTATTAGCTTTTGGCTAACAAACTATTCGTGCTGTTCACCGACTGAAATTGCTAATGTTACGATAACATGACAGACAGATGGAGTTTTAAAAACTCATTTCTTTCTCATGCACTGACCTCTTGCACTAAATCTAATCGAGTGTTCGTGTGACATGTGTATCCGTGAGTACTATATTGCAAAAAAATCCAATTCTAAGTTAGAATGTTCGATTATCGGCTGGTC